GACCAGAGGGAGCGTGGGGAGGAGGAGAAAGTCACCCAGAGGTGAATTGGATGAGGAGCTGCCAGAGAGTGGCAGCTGGCCAGGGTGTGACTCGGGGCTCAGGTGACTGCTGTAGAGGCAGGAGCAAGGGCCAAAGCCAGGGTGTGTCAGCGGGAGCTTGGGAGGGTCAGCCCAGGGGGACGTAGGTGTCTGGAGTGGTAGGTGGTGAAAATGGTGGCCACCTGAGCGGAGCCTTGCAGGACAGGTTGAGCTGTCTGGGCATCACACAGGAGCCCCTGCAGAGAGCTGGTGCCAAGGACTGGCTCGGGACACAGTGCCTGGAGGCGGCTTGCTCCCTTACCTCCCTGAGGACGAGCTCCGTCACCTGGGACGACCTCTCTGGGTCTCGGCGTCTTCACTTGCAAGAGCGCATCGATCGCCACCCCTGCTCCCGGGGCTCCAGGGCGAGCAGGCAGATCCGTTTCCCTGAAGGGCAGCAGAATGCCCAGCACACGGCAAGCATCCCACCAACATGGGCCGTGCACCGCTGCTACTTGCTGGAGGGCTGGAGAAGCATCAAGAGTGAGAGGTGGGGGCCAGCTTTGTGGCATAGCAGGTAAATCCCATATGGACGCTGGTTTGAGTCCCAGCTGCTCCACTTCTGATCCAGTTCTCTGCTATGGCCTGGGAAAGCAGTAGAAGATGGTCCAAGATGACCTGGAAGACGCTCCTGGCTCCGGATGGGCCCACCTCCAGCCATTGTGGCTGTTTGGGGAGTGGACCAGCATATGGAAGACCTCTCTCTTGCTCTGCCTCTGCTTCTCTGTAACTCTGCCTTTCAAGTAAATAAATAAATATGTTCCAAAAAAAGAATGCAGGGTGGATAGATGACAAGGGGCCTCTCGACTGCTCTGAGTGACCACATTGAGGTTGGAGGCAAACGAGAAAGAGCATCACATCTGGGCTGTCAGTGAAATCTCTGGATGAGAATAACTCCAGTGAGAAACAGCAGGGTGGGAGGGGACCCCGACAGACAGCAGAGCAAACCCGGGGACACTGCTCCTGCCTGCCCTTTGCATAGCTCTGCTCTGTCCTCCTGGTGCTGAAGGGGAACCAGGTGTCCAGCTCTGGCTGGGCAGCGCACAGGGAGGCCCAGCTTTCGTGCCTGGGGCAAGGATATGGCGGGTTCAGCTCACTCCAGGGTGCAGGAGGCCAGACCTGAGTGTCACTGGCTGTCACTGGCTGTCAGGCCTGCCTGCCCAGGCCTAAGAGCTGCAGGCCGTCCCACCTGTCACCCCAGGGAGGAAAGGGCTCCTCGGGGGACTTCCCTAGCAGCCTGTGGGCGTGCTCGCCCACAAGGAGGGGCATTGTTGGTTTTGGTGGGCTAAATATTTTGGAGTCACCGCTTCCACTTCCTCTCCCTGCATCCTGTGGCCTTTCCCCTCCGGGTTCCCTGCAAAGGTGGGCAGTGTGCCCTGGCCTGCAGAGGCTGTGGGAGCCCGGGTGGGCGTCAGTGTCTGGTGTACCAGTCCTGCCCACGGTCTAGCAAGTCAGCAGAGGAGAGGGCCCTGCCTGGGCGTGGGGAGGCGGCTGGCACCAGGTCCCCCACCCTGCTCCCTTTGTCCTGCCCACCCTCAGCTCTTCCCCTGTGCTACGGCCGTGCCCACCTCCATCCTTCCCAAAGGCTCTTCCTGCTCTGGGGATGGGGGACAGGGGCACTCCTGGGCCCAGGCCGTGTATGGTGCACAGCTGACCCTGGGGGCCCCTGGCCTGCTCTCAGGGACTCTTCAAGGCGGGTGTGACTGACGCCCAGGAGCAGACCTGCCAGTGGTCTCTGCTCGGGAATGCAGGCATCTTTCTTTCCAAGTCCTTATTTATGATTTATTTATGTCTATTTGAATGGGAGAGTGACACACAGAGGACACAAATTGAGAACTTCTATCCACTGGCTCACTCCCCAAATACCTACAAAAACCAGGGTTGGGCCAGGCCAAGGCCAGGAGCCCAGGGCTCCCCTTGGGTCTCTTACATGGCGGGCAGATGCCCAAGCCCTTGAGCCATCACTGCTGCCTCCCAGATGCAGAATGGATCGGAAGTGGGGGTGGCACTGGAACTCAGGCTCTCCCATACAGAACAAGAGCTTCCTGATCCAGCGCCTTATCTACTCGGTCAACCTCGCCCCAAAGCGTGGGACTTCTCACTTCAAAGCTCCCCAAGCGATTTTAATTCAGGACAGGAGATGCTGCCATCAGCAATCTTCCCAGTTTTTATGGGCGGAAGCTGAGGCCCAGGGCATGGAAGTGACTTGCTCACTGTCATGTAGAAGGTGGATGCAGAGCCATAGACACCCCACTCCTCGCCCCCCGCTGCGCTTCTACCACCCAAACCCCTCTGCTGCCTTTGCTGCGACCACCGCCACCTCCGCCCTGACCATGCTGCGGGCGGCTGTCTCATTGGACAGAGGCTTCGTCAAGGCCATTGTCAAAGGAGGAGCCAGGTGAATGAGGACCTGTGTATTGTGACCCTTCATGCTGGCCACTCTCCAGCCAGTCTCAGGACACCGCCCTCCACTCGGGAGACAGCAGCCTCCATGCTTCTGTGCCATGAGGTCATGGTTCCTTGTTTCTGTGTTCCCTGAGAAATGCGCTAGGCACCATGCTGAGCGCTTCGCATTTAACTTCCTTGTCCCATGGAGAGATGAAGTGCAAGGTTAAGCCCTGATTGCTGCTACACAGCCTCACACGGCAGCCAGAGGAACCGAAGCTGGGAGTAAGCAACCGCCCTCAGAGCCACGGCACTCCTCGGGGGCCTCTCCCTTCTTCCTCCTTGGCAAACCCCACCTTCCTCCGTGCAGGCCTAGCGGGACTTTCACACGGCGCCCTCAGCCTGGGTCCGCATGCCAGCTGGTGCTCTGTGTGTGGTTTCCTGCCAACCCTCACACTTGCTTGAGAGGCAGAGTGAAAGCGAAAGACAGAGAGAGGAAGAGACAGAGTTTTCTATCTGCTGGTTCACTCCCAAAAGGCCACGATGGCTGGGGCTCAGCCAGGCCAACACCAGGAGTCAGGAACTCCACCTGGGTCTCCCACCTGGGTGCAGAGGTCCAAGCACTTGGGCATCTTCCACTGCTTTCCCAGGCCATAGAGGGGAACTGGATTGAAGTGGAGCAGCTGGGACTTGAATCAGGACTCATATGGGATGCTGGCATCGCAGGCGGCCACTTAACCTATTGCATTATAATGCCAGCCCCTGCAGTCTCCTGTCTAATCCCTCACAAGGACTGGCACACAGCAGGCCCTTCCAAGTGTTGAGTGATTGAATGAATGAACGAAGCTAGCATCGAGCACGTTCCCTGGGGTCCCCCATGGGAATGTCCATCAACACACACAGGAACTGCAAAGATCTCAAACGGCACAGTACCGCCTCACCAGGAGGCCATCGTCAGCAACCTGTGTCACTCCTGTCTGCCTGTGTGTGACATGGGGACAGCCACAGGAACGTGAAAGCCTTCCCTTTCCCTCTCCTGCAGCAAGCAGTCGCTGTATACCTGCACCGTGTTGGGCACCATGATGGGGTGTGCTGACCGCAATGAGGCACTCCTGCCTTCCAGAAACTTCTAGATGGGGAGGCAGGGGGAGCACCAGGAATTCCTCCTGCGGGAGGCGCCTGCTGTAGGGAGCTCAGAGTGAGACTTCCTGCAGGGTCAGCCACATCCATGTCACGCCTGCAAGAGTGCCCCAGGGGCCACGGGAAGTCCTGGTGCCTGTGCAGAACAGGGAGCCATGCTGTGCAGCCTGGAAGCTGCTGGAGGAGCCAGGCAGGACTTGCAGCTGACCTGGAGCACAGCGGGCCGAGGGGCGGCCAGGTTCTCAGTGCACCCTGTCGCACAGCCGGTGGCCGCCCCGGGCGGGACAGCCTCTGGGCAACCCCCGCTTGCCTGCGGCTCACTGGGTGCCTCCTTGACCTTGTCACTGAGCAGCACGCAGCAGAGCCTTCTCAACAGAGCAGAGCATGAGCGTCGGCGCGGGGGGGCGGGGCGGGGGTGGAAAGGAGAATGGAACGCAGGAGGAAGAGCTTAGCCTTCGAGGTGTGTGGGGCTGGAGGTCTTCCTGGGCATTCACCTGCGCTCGCGGCTGCAGCCGGCCCTGGCGCAGACACAAGACACAAAGGGTCACCGTGCTCACATTGCAAGGGCGCAATTGCAAGGGAGCAAGCCTGGGTGTCGCAGCACCAGGTGAGATGGGAAAGGGTCTAGGGAGTGGGCTCCCTTGGGGCAGAGGGTGGCGCACGCTGCAGAGAGGGCCAGGGGCACACAGGCCCCCTGTGAGCACTTCCGAGCCAATGCTGCTCACGGGACACTGCCGTGTCCTCCACCTCCACGGTCCCCAGCACCTGGTGTATTTGTTGAGTGTGCACAGACGTCACGCAGTCCTTCAAATAGTCCCAGATTAGGTCAAGGTGTGGGAGTGTACCAGGAAACCACAGGGAGAGACGAGCCAGGCCCACCCAGCTGCAGCGTTCACAAGGAAGGGACAGAGGCCCAGGAAGCGTCCGTCGCTCGCCCGAGGTCCAGTGGTGTGGCTGACTCCAGACGCCACCTTCTTCCTCCCCAGCCTGGCCTCTGCCCTGAGAGAGGGAGCTGAGAATATGTGACCCTGGCCATGGGCAAAGCCAGAGCGGCCTGCGTGAGCCCGGTCTGCCAGGATCAGGCTGGGCTATAACTGAGACGCCCAGCAGGGCCGGGCCCCACGGCACGAGGGATACGCGGCGGGGAGGCAGGAGGACCGGGGCGTCCCTGGGCTCCCCTGAAGGGGCTGGGTGCACATGGGCTGCCTCTTGTCCGCTCTCCACCCAGCCTCACTAACTTGGCTCCTACAAGCCACTTCCTGCCTTTCAAGTTCTAACCACGAGAAGAGCCGAAGAGTCCGAGCGGTTTTTGGGAGTGACTGGCGGAGTGCTCGTGCTGGGAGTGTTCTGGAACATTCTGGCTGTGGGAGTGTTCTGGAACACCCTCGGCTGTCCTGCCTCCGCTCATTCTACTCCACACAAGCACTGCGGTGAGCTGTTACTGGGTTCCAGCCTTGGTGCTGGGGCCTGGGGAGGGAGCCGCTGCCCCTAACAGCCACCTGGGGCTGGAGGAGAGCCCCATGAAGCTCTGCTGTGAGCAGAGGCACTGGCCAGTGCCCTGCCCTGCTCAGGAAGCCTGGAAGGCAAGGTCTTCCGTCTCTTCCTGTGCGGGGTGGCTGCGGCCGCAGGTGGGAGAGGAGGGGAAATGAGCTGGTGCAGGGACTGCCCCATTCCCTTCTCGAGTGGGCTGGGCAGCAGCCCAGGCAGGAGAGGATGAGCAGAGAATTTCCTGGGTGGCCACACGACATCCCCACTCCATTCCCCGGGTCTGAAGTACCTACGGTTCCATTTGGCACCTGATCACACACTTCGGTCTCTTCTCTCTCCTCCGCTCACAGCAAAGGGGTAAAAAATGCTCCATCTTCAGGGCCTAAGGGAGCACGAGAGAGACCACAGCAGGGTTAGTGATGCTGACGACTTCAGCTGCGTTGTGCATGGCAGGAAGCAGGTGGGCAGAGGCACGAACCTGGCTGAGCAAAGGAGAAATCGGGAGCCACGGCTCAGCTGGCAGGGTGTTCTCAGAGGCAGGGGCACACGGGGGTTGGATGACCAGGACCCAAGTCCCATCGCCTGTCTCTGCCTCTAACTCTCAAGCTGACCTTGGGCAGACTCTCCCACGACAATACAGAGAGATCATCCTGGAAGTGTGGGTCTCCTCTCCTGGTGCCCAAGAGAATGACCTGGAGGTTTTCTCTTTCCCTCTGTCATGTACAGGCATATGGGTTTTGCTTTTGGCCCTGAAATGGAGCTGGGACACACACACTTTGGCCAAAGCTTTCCCAGGAGACTGCATGAGAAGTCCAACATGCCTGCTTGCCATGCAGGCATCAGTGGAGAGGGCAGAGAGGGGTGGGTGATGAGGGGCAGGGAAGTTAGCGCCTCTCAGGGCAATCTGCCTACTGGGGGCTTCCAAGGCAGCTAGGGTCCTGCCTCTGGGGCATAACAGGAGGGTCTTGACAGAGACAGTGATGGTCCCAAAGGGAGGTAGCAAGGGGGGCTCTGCATGCGAAGCTCAGAGTCCTGGACATGGGAAACCTATGGCAGACGGGAACCGTGAGCCCTTGGGCACACAGGAATCCGAGAGCCGTCACGTGGACAGCCATGCACGCCCAGGTGAGCAGCTCATACTTGTGCTTCATCCAACTGGCAATGGGAAGCCACAGCAGGTTTTTGAGCTGCAGAGTGCACCATCAAGGTGGGTCACACCAGCCAAACCTCTGTGACTGGGTGATGCACTTGGCCCTCAAGGCTTCAGAACACAGACTTGGCTCGGCTGCTGCTTCCCGAGCACCTGCTATGTGCTGTTTATTTCAGCGCACAGCATCTTTGTGCTGACCACTCTGTAGCTGGACAGCCATGTATCTGCCCAGCACTGCTCCACTCCCACCACTCTCCTTCTCTCTCACCCTGCAGCTCCGCCCGGCTGCTCTGAGTGGAGAGCGCTCCTTTCTGCCTGTCACTGCACACAAGGCAGACTTCCTGGCCTCCCGCCTGTAGGAGACCTTGCTGTAAGAACCTGCTGCCAGGATGCTCTCCAGGGCCGGTGCTGTGGCATAGTGGGTAAAGCCACCACCTGCAGTGCCAGCATCTCATATGGGCACCGGTTCAAGTCCTGGCTGCTCCACTTCTGGTCCAGCTCTCTGCTATGACCTGGGAAAGCAGCAGAAGATGGCCCAAGTCCTTGGGCCCCTGTACCCACAAAGGAGACCTGGAAGAAGCTCCTGGCTCCTGGCTTTGGATCAGCATAGCTCTGGCTGTTGTGGGAGTGAACCAGCAGGTGGAAGACCTCTGTCTCTGTCTCTACCTCTCTCTGTAACTCTGCCTTTCAAATACATAAATAAATCTTTAAAAAAAAAAAAAAAGAACATGCTGCCAGGATGCTCTCTGACCGTGGCAGGCAACTCCCAGTCCCCACCAAGCTCCTGAGATGGCCCATCTCCTGCCAGCCTTACACTGGGCGACTCTTGTTTATCTGGGAGTTGAAGCAAAAAATGGTTCCAGGCCAGGCATTGCATCTCATTGGTGCTTGCTTCAAACAGAGGAAACAATTGAAGAGTGTTGAGATGGCCGGCTTTGTGGTGCCAGCATCCCATATCAGAGCCATGGTTTCAGTCCCCACTGCTCCACTTCCGATCCAGCTCTGTGCTATGGCCTGGGAAAGCAGTGGAAAATGGCCCGAGTCCTTGGGCCCCTGCACCTGCATGGGAGATCTGGAGTTTCAGGCTCCTGGCTTCAAGTGCCATGGTGGTCACTTAGGGGAGTGAACCAGCAGACAGAAGATCTCTGTCTCTCCCTGTCACTCTTTCAAATAAATAAATAAAATTTTTAAAAATATATAAGAAATCGGGCACTGGATTCTGTCCCGGTTTCCCCTCTTCCAGGCCAGCTCTCTGCTGTGGCCAGGGAGTGCAGTGGAGGATGGCCCAGGTGCTTGGGCCCTGCACCCCATGGGAGACCAGGAGAAGTACCTGGCTCCTGCCATCGGATCAGCGTGGTGCGCCGGCCACAGCGCGCTGGCCATTGGAGGGTGAACCAACGGCAAAAGGAAGACCTTTCTCTCTGTCTCTTTCCCTCTCTCACTGTCCACTCTGCCTGTCAAAAAATATATATATATGTATATATATATATATATATATATATAAGAAAAATGTTGAGGATTAAAAAAATAGCAACAGCAAGCCTCTGGCCTAGGCACCTGACTTAGGGGATCCGTGCTGCCCACCCTCAGTCACGTGTTACAGCTTCCACTTAGTGCACACACGCGCTTGGGCAAGTCTGCACAATCGCTGGTTTGGATTCTGGTGCAGGTGCCGGCACAGGTGCTCCAGGCTAGAGAACACCGCTGCTCTGTGCTGTCCCAGCGGCAGCAGCTGCAGATCTGGATGCAGCGATTTGGGGCCAGGCAAGCCACACAGAGGCCACTTCCTCTCAGTCACCTTTCTCCGCTTCCCACTCAGCCAGGACAGCTCCCACGTATCTTCTTTATCAGATCCTTATCTACTCCTCACTTGGGGAAGTTCCCAACCCCGCCCGGCCCCCAAACACACCTCCAGCACCGCCAGGAGAGGAGGGGGAGGGAGTTTTCCATGCGGCCACTGGGTGTGAGTAAGTGTCCCTTCTGCCTGTGACTCCCACCTCTGCACGGCCTGGGAAACTCCACCCCGGGCTCATATAAGCTTTGGGCACTGAAGGATGGGCCAGGAGAGAGATCTCAGTGTCTCCGGAGCCCGACTGCCCGAGATGAAGCTTGTCCCCGTGGCTCTGGCGTGCCTGCTGCTGGTCGCGATGTGGCCTCAAGACGTGGATGGCAAGAGCAGTGAGTGGGGCTGCCATCCCTCTGCCCTTCCCTGGGTGGGCGGGCTGGAAGGCAGGGAGTTCCTCCTGGGCTGGGGCAGGGCTCACCTTGATCATCCGTCTCCATCTCCCCTCCTCTCACCTAAGAGTTAGAAGGAGGACTTGGATGGGCTGGGGCGGGAAGGAGAACGGCGAGTCAGGGGCGAACACACGGAGCTGAGCCGCCAGCTCCAGCAGGAAGAAATTTAGCTCAGAGCCTTTGACACCAGGGAGGACTTGTCCGTTCATTTAGAGCAAGCTGGGTAGTGGGGGGGCTCAGAGGAGGCACTGGGGCGGGGCTGTACACTGTGCCGGGTGACAGGCAGAGGCTGAGGCTACACTGGGGGCTCTGTGGTTGGCTAACCCTGGGCAAGTTTACTGTTCAGATTCTGCCTTCTCTGTGGGTGGTGAGATGAAGTTGATGGCACTGTCTCCAAGGCTGGTGGGAGGACCCCAGCCTCATGACCCACATGGAAGGGAGTGTGTGAAACATCAAGCCAGGAGGACTGGAACACACGTCTCTTAGGGGTGGAGGGTGGGTGCTGGGCAGAACTGAGAGCCAGGAGAGATGGTGTTGGGGGGATGGGCAGCTCCTGGGAGCACTCCCCTTGCTGGTTAGCCAGCCTGCACTCCTCAACAGTTTTGAGCTCAGTCCAGGTCTGTGACCAAGGACCGCAGTGTCCTGTGTGCGTCCGACAGACCAGCTTCGCCCCCACCGCTGCCCCTCCCCCAGGGTGTGGGGTCCAGAGCCTTGGGCCTGAGCTCCAGGGTAGGACCACACCTTTGTGGTGCAGTCAGGGCTGGAGGAGCCTCTGAAGGTAGGGTCCAGGAGGCTTGTGGGGAGCTCCGATGTGAGGTCCAGTCCTTGTGCTGTCCTCACTGCTCCGGAACGAAGAATCCGTGCCCTCTGCATGTGGGTGGCCTGAAAGCCTGGGCCTGGCTCTGCTCGCCAGGGGCTTTAGGAAAAATCACCCTGCGGGTGAGAGGCTGGGAAACGATGCAGACTCTCCTCTGTGCTTCTCTTCCAGTGCACGTATCCTCCTCCAACTGCTGCTTCTCCTTCGTGGAGAAAAGGATTCCCCTGAAGACCATCCACTGCTACAGAAGGAGCAGCTCCACCTGCCCCTACGACGCCATCATGTGAGTGATCCCCTGCCCACTCCCCTGCAGGACCCAACGCGGCGGCCCGGGAATTAGAACAGCAAGCGCTAGATGGCGCTGTTCCACCGGAATAAGGTTTCTAAACCTAGCCAGCCAGGCGGTCTACAACTGCGTGCAGAGCCGCGCTTGGGCGCTAGGGGGAGTGCCGAGCTCCCAAGCAGGTGCTCCTGTGGTACCTTGTGTTTCCTGGAACTCCAAGATGCCAGATACCAGGTCCCAGCATTGTGTGCCCAGAGGAAGGAGCTGCCGAGCCACAACCACAGGGTGTTATTGTGTAGTGGAAGAGCAAGGGGTCCATGATCAAGTCCTGCCTCTGTATTTGCTAACCTAGAGTCCTGGGTGACCTTGGACAGATAACTGCCTGTCCCTCCTTACCATTCACACTTTTGTTGTCCTTACCTGTGACATGGGGTGCAACTGACAGCTGCATCACAGGATCAAGGGTGGTTAAGAATTTTAAAAAGGCTGTTCTCACATACTAGGATTATTTTAAGGTATTTTCAGGTGTCCATACATCACCTCGATGGACCCTACTGGGACACACATTGCTATTACCATGAAAATCGAGGCTCAGGGAGGCAAATGTATTGGTGTTAAGTTCACTCAGAGGCAGAGCCTGGCTATAGACTGCACAATAGTCACACACACACACACACACACACACACATGTCCTGTGGGGCCAGATGGATTTGGAAACACTGGAAGTAGGAGCAGAGAGATCCATGTCAAGGTTCATTGTCAGAGCGCCTGCAAAGCCTGTAGTCCCTCCCCCACATCTGCAGCCCTAACCTTTAGGAGAGGGTCCACGAAGTAAGTTACCAACCCCACGCCTCCCCCACACCCTTGTACCAGCCATGGATCAGCTCTCAAACAGCGCCTTCATTCACAGAGGGGAAGCCAGGCCCAGGGAGAGGCTTGGGCACCCATCAGCAAGGAGGTAGACATGGTATTTGTGTGTGGTGTGCAGTGGGTGACTCGGTCTCTCCTTTTTCTCTGCTCGCAGATTCAAGCTGAGAGGAGGCAGAGAAAGCTGTGCCTTGAAGACAGTGGGCTGGCTCCAGGGCTACTTTAAAAAGATGAAGCCCTGCCTGCCAAAGGGACCCTGAGCGGATTCCCTTCCCTCCTGAGCTCTGTTCCTCGCCACACCTACCTCTAGTCCTGCTCCCTTCCTTCTACTGGGACTTGATAAGCTACAATGTTGCACTTTACTTAATCCCAGAATCCTGCACTCCTGCTGGCTGGTGCCTCTTGGATCCCAAGGGGACTTCAGGGTGCAAAACTGATTGGCACTGAGGGGTGGGGCTAGGGGCTGAAGGGTGGGGGAGGAGGGAGACATGCTGGACTTGGTACCTAGGGAACAGGAGCCAATAAAAGACTTACTCCCTGCCTTGCTGTGACGCTGTGTGTTGGGGGCGGGGGCATTGGCAGATTCTCTGCCTCCAGGTTTGACGGCCGAGGGAGGCACAGTGAAGCAGTGATGGATGCAGGAGGTGCAGGGGGTGATGCTATCCAATGCCCTGGCTGTGAGCTCGTCTGCCTGTGAGATGCTGCTAACCCCATTGCACAGACGAGGTGACTGAGGGCTGGATAGAACACGGAACAAGCCAGGGCCAGATCTGGCCTTGGAGCCCAGGGCTCCTGCCCTCAGGCCTGAACTCTTTATGGTGTCTCGAGTTGCCCAGCATGCTACCTGGTACCGTGGGACACCGGCCTCGGGGCCCTGTCCTCTGTGGGGATGTAGGCATGAGTGGACCCTGGGCTTCCAGAGATCCAACTCAGCTCATACAGGAGGGGCAGACAGCTGAGTCAGGTCAGGAGGGCCCCGGGGCCACAGGGGAAGAAGAGGCCCTGTCCCTGTGAACTGAATGGCCACAGTGTATGACCTAGGGAAGTGACGGGGGAGGGAGCTAAGACTGGGCCTCAGACCTGGTGCCCCTGTGCAGGCCAGCTCTGTGGCTGTGGGGAGCAAGGTGGCATGTCCTGTGTCCCCGGGCTCCACCCTGTGTCCCCAGCATTCAGTGTGTCACAATCTGGCCCAGTCTTGGCCATCTGCTTCCTCCCCAGCACCCCAGAACTGCCCCTTTTCCTCTTACCTGGACAGGTGCAGGGAGCCCTTCTCAATGTTCCCGGCCCCACCCATCCCACTCAAGGCACAACTGCTCTCCCTAGTCTCTCTTCCTTGAAATCATCACACCTCTGGCTGCCTTCAGAGCTGGGTCCAGCTCCTGCCCTGTATTTGAATCCCCCTGCAGCCCAGCCTATCTAAATGCCTTCAACTTTACATTCTGGACCCCAGACTCTGGCCCTCTCCCTTTCGTCCTAACTTGCTCATCCTCTGGTTGTACAGCGCCACCCCCCACAGTCAGTTCTGCCCAGTGCCATTGCCTCCATCGGGCCCCTGGTTTTCCTCTGGGGACCAGGAGTACATGGGTTACTCATCTCAGGCTGGGAGGCTGCCTGAAGGAGGAGGCACAGGGACAGGGAGAGCGGTGGCAGCAGGTATGGGTTGGTGGGGTGGGGGGGAGGGAGTCTTAGCTAACATTACTGAAGACAGAATGCATTTTGCATCATAAAAGAGAAAGCATTCGATTTGAAGGTTACAGGAAAACCAGGCTGGGGGCACATGGGAAGCCAGAGAAGAGGCAGCAATCATGTCCCCTACTCAGGTCACATCTGCATGTGGGTGGAAGAATTGCAGTCCTCAGGGAGTGACGTTTCCATCCAGGACCCTCATGGTATCCTGGACCCACTTTTGCATGGGATCAGCACAGAGTTCCTGGTCCCGTCTGGTCCGGAAGCTGTGGAGGAAGGGGCCCGGCACAGTCAGGTGGACCCCATGGCAGGGTGGGTGGTCCCTGGGCTGGGAGCGGGGAGGATTGTGGGAAGAAAGGGCCCTGGAGGCCGTGGCTGCTTTTGGTGGCGGGGGAAGTCATCTTGGTGTCCACTAAAGCGGAGACCAGAGCATGGGCAGCCACCTGTGAAGGGACCCCAGTGCCTCTGCACTGTTACAGCGGGAGAGTTAGAGTCCTCAGGCTAGCAGCCAGGAGCTGCCTGGCTTCAGTCTCGCAGGGCCCACCTGGGCCCAGCTTTGTTTGGAGAGCATGGGGTGCGGAGGGGTGCATGGGCGGGGTTTTCTACTCACATCACAGCCTCCTTGACACAGGCCTTGCTGGTCTTCCGATAGCTCACCAGCCTCTGCAGGGGGATCCTCTTCCTGACAAAGCTGAAGCAGCAAGCGGTCAGGGCTGGCTTCGTTTCTAGAAGCAAAGTCACAAAGAGAAAGCCTCTGAAGGCGGGTGGGCTTGAGTGCAGCAGGAAGTGACCAGAGGCGAAGGCAGAAGCAGACCTCATCCGTCCTGGAGCCCAGCACCCCTGCTGTGACCTGTGGCTCAGACTGCACTGCCTGGAGGTGGCCAGGGGCAGCCCTGGGACAGGCGCCAGGAGTGGCCCCAGAGCTGCAGAGTTCGGGATGACCTGAAAAGACACTGGGCTCCAGGCAGCAAGGTGGGCTGGGCCCCTCCTGTCTCCGATCTGGGTTTCAGCGTTGAGTGAAGCTCTAAGGGGCCTTGCTGCTCTGCTGGGTTTAGAAGTGGGGCCCCAGGGCCAGCACTATGGCGCAGTGGGTAAACCTGGAGTCCCGGCTGCTCCACTTCCGATCCAGCTCTCTGCCGTGGCCTGGGAAAGCAGCGGAAGATGGCCCAAGTGCTTGGGCCCCTGCACCCACCTGGGAGACCTAGAAGAAGCTCCTGGCTCCTGGCTTTGGTGTGGCCCAACACTGGGCATTGCAGTCATCTGGGGAGGGAACCAGTGGATAGAAGGCCTCTCTCTGTCTGCCTCTCTCTCTTTCTCTCTTTCTGCAACTCTTACTTTCAAATAAATAAATACATTATATATATATATATATATACATATATATATATAAAGTGGGGCCCTTTGGCTTAGAAGGCGAGAGAAACCTAAGGAAGGAGAGGGAGTGGAGGAAGAGATGGGCCTCACCTGTCTGGGCGAGTGCCTGGGAGCTGCAGGCGGCCGCTAGGAGCAGCAGGCACAGCAGAGCTGCGGAGACCTTCATGCTGGGGCTGCTGCCACGGGAGAGCCAAGTTCCAGCCTCAGGGTTGCTCTCTGCTTCTCTTCCTCCCTGGCCATCCTGCCTGCCTTTTATAGGAAGCAGACGGTGGGGGCGGGGGGTGTCTCACAAGACCTTTTCCTGGTTAGGTGGAGGTCAAGTCATGAGGAGGAGGGCCCCAAATCTGCTGAGCTGGAGCCGGCGCTGAGGGTTTTCTAGGAAATGCAAGAGGGAGGCTGCACAGGCTGTTGGGTTGCAGCCGCCCAGACAGACCACAAGGAGCCAAAGAGGAAGAGGAGGACACAGACGGGCTGCCAGGCGCTCACCTCGGACGCCGCCCAGGGAGCGCTCCCATGCTTGCTGCCTCCAACACCAGGGAAAGTTAAGTCCAGGAGGGGAAGAGCCTTGTGCTCTGGGCTCTGTGCGTGCTGCATATTTAGTCCTGAGCAGGTGCACACCATGACTATCATGCCCATTTTACAGACGAGGAAACTGAGGTGCAGAGATTAAATAACTTGCCCCAGATCTCACAGGAAATGAGTGGGGCCCCCAGAGGAGAAAGCCAGTCAGCTTGCAGTCCATCTCCAAATCTTTCTCTGACTTTCATTTCACCACAGAAGGTTTTTTTTGTTTGTTTTTAAGATGTATTTTTATGTATTTGAAAGGTTGAGTAACATAGATAAAGGGAGAGATAGAAAGAGAGAGACATCTTCCATCCACTGGTTTATTTCCCAAGTGGCCACAATGACAGGGTCACGACCCAGGAACTCCATCCGGGTCTCCCATGTGGGTGCAGGGGCCCAAGCACATGGGCCATCCTCTGCTGCATTCCCAGGCACATTAGGAGGGAGCCGGATCCGACGCAGGTCAACTGGCACTCGAACCAGCACTCTCTTCCGAGATGCTGGCATTGCAGATGGCGGCTTAACCCACCGCACCACAGGGCCGGCCCCTGCAGAAGTCCTTTGCAAGCCAAGTTTTGTGTGCAAGTCCAAGACATGAGACAGAACAAGTCAGGTGCTGATGACAAGGGCTCCCTGTGCCACTGCTCGAGACGTCTGGTTGCTCCGGGCCCTTCCTTTCCAGGAGGGAGGCCTGTGGTTCCAGAGCTGTTGCTGGCAGGGAGTAAGTGGGGAACACAGCAAGGCTGGGGCGCTTTGCCCCCGTGCCTGCCTCCCTCCTGTGAGAAGCATGGGCCCGGGAGTGCTGCTGGGGTCCTGGCAGGAGGGAGGGGACAATGGGACTGGCCACCAAGCCTGGCAAGTCCTCCACCTGGCTACGCTGGCCCCTGCCTCCTGCCCCCACGCTTGGCTGCAAGACAATGTTTACTTTTGTGCCTTGCAGGAATGCTCTCCTCTCTGCCTTCCCCTCTGGCAAGCAAGTCTTTCACACCCAGCGAAGGCGAAAGAAACAGCAAAACTTGAAAACAACACATACGGGAGAGGACTGATGAGGTCCAACATTGATCCATGAAGCTAAAACTCCCTGAGACTGACCTCGCAAAAAAGGCACAAATAAAGCCATAAAAATAGGCACAAATGAAGGACGGGTTGAGGGGGATAAAAAGGACAACGTCCCCACAGAGCCCGCAGCCACTGGAGAGAAAGAAAGAATCTTGTGCCAACGCATTTAATTTAGAGGAAATGCATCGATTTCCAAAAAACCAGAACTAACAGATTGCAAGATGGAATAAGGACAAACCACAGCAATTCGCAAACTATTAAAGCAGTCGAAATCCGTCACTGAAAATCTTCCCCTGAAAAATATCCCCTGGGGGCCGAGGGCTTTGACAGCTAATTCCCAAGCTTGCACAATGGCTTCCAGGGAAGAGGACTCCGTCCAGCCCTTCTGAGTCTTACATAACGCTGACACAGAGCGTAGCAGTGAGACAAAAGCTGGCCACCAGCGGTACAAGAACTGAGCACGAGTAGCGTGTTCCTTCAGGTACACGGTCCGTCCGTTCCCAGCCTGGAAGCCAGCCTGCGAGGATCGCAACGACGGGATTGCTGGCTGCCTGGCTCCACACCGGGCTGGGGCCCTGGATGGGGAGAAGGGTTAGGTTGAGGCACTTTGTCTCTTCTGTCTCCCCCGTGGGCCTCACTGGAGGGCAGCCCTCAACCGATGGCTTTATCCTCTCTCCAGGTGGCTCCTGGGGACTGGCCCCATCCAGATGTGGGGAGCCATCCTCTCCAGGCCCACACCTCTATCCGTGGAACCAGTGTCTCTTCTGGGCCATGCTCATATCCTCCCAGCTGAAGGGAGGCCCTGGGTGACACAGGCCTGGGTACCCTGAAGTGGCCTCTGGAACTAGGCCTTCCAA